GAATTGATGTGGCCTAAAGATTTGTAATTAATATCTACTAAACATTTGTAACAGCTGCTGTCTTGAAACAGTAGATTATATTTTGTAATGATTTTAAAATAACTATAATACCACTAGCATACAAATACAAGTGATAATTCTTATTGTAACTGGTATCATGTCAAACGGTGGTAACTTAGTAAATTCTTGTTTGCCTTTTCAAATCATATTTTTAAAGTATTTCAGTAACACAATGGATACAATGAAATGTTAAGAAGTACACTTTTAGAAAGTCATTTTGAAATCTACCTCCTTTACTTGTGTACTGTTCTGACTTTTTGCTGCTTGACCCACCACAAACAATGCACTTTGGCTTCATAAGACAAAAACTGGGAAAATCTGTACTAGATTACTCTTTATTCATATCAAGTTCATACTGATTCAGTAAAGGAATAGAATTAATGTGTTCATATTTGATTGGACTGAAATAGAACCATCCAACTGCATTCCCTAAACCTAAAGATCATCTCTACAATTAGTCATTGATTATGTTTTAGGCACAGGCCTGTTTTAGATTTTCAGAAATCTAACACCGCTCAATACTTCACCCTACTGCAGAGGTTTCCTGTGAGTTTAAATGATGATAAGGCGACATCTAGTGGGCGCATCAACTAATTTTATCAGCATTTGCAAACGGCGATGGCATTGGAAGTTCACCATCAACTTAAAGGAGAATTTCACCAATTTTTCAAAATTTCTGAAAACTTCAGTCCTTGAGATGTAAACAGAGTCATACAGAGTGGTTTGTTGTGAATGGTCCATTGTAGAGAAACTTACACCCTGATTCCTTTACAGTGGTGGTGATAGGACCCAGGGGCCATGATGTCTACAACACAAATATAGACATTTCTTCTAGCAGAACCCTATTGAGTATTATATAGAACCATATACAACACATTCTCCATCAATCTGGAGAACCATTTTACCAGGCACTCAAATGGTTCTAAACAGAACGATTGCCTTTACTAAAGGACCCTTAAAGAACCATCTTTTTTAAGCATGTAGTTAATACAAAGCACAATCTTTGTTGTTTCTTACGTTTAGGCGCTTTGTATGAAGTGTTTATGTTTACATTTTTTTCAGTCACTATGAAGGCTGGACTCGCAAAGCTGTCTCAAGGGAGAAACTCTTCTTAAACGTCTCTTTATTCTTAACTACATCTTTAAGAAAAAAAAAATGAGGAATTTTCTTCATTTCTTTCTTAACTTTTCTCTTAAGAACACTTAAAAGAACAAATAGTATTCCTGAAAAAATGTTTTTAGATATTTTCTTGACCTTTACCACGGTCTCCCACTTCAACTATCTTAAACTGTAACTTCTAAACTGAATAAACTAGAGTGGTTAATGCAAATGTGGTACAGTTTCTGCTAATATGTAACATGGGACTGCTAGTCTACATGACAAATAACCTAAAGCCACCCCACGAGAACAATTAAGATTTAACAGAATATTTGAGAAGTTTTTCAAAAACGCTCCAATGAACTTTTGTGTTCCTCTGAAGGTCCTTCCTAGCCAAGTTTTTTTTAGGATAGCCATCGTTAATCATGTGTTCTAACCATAGATATACACACCTAGATGCTGCGTTGCCTGTTAATTGTTCTCCATGTGAGGTGATGCGTCTGCGCGTCCGCCATGTTGGAGCGGTCAAGATCCGCTTATGAACAAATTCACTTGTATTGAGAAATGATGAGTCTCAGGATTAAATCGGCCACAGATTTCACCAGATTTGTTTTGTTATAATCCTCAGACATTATTTAATCTAGGTTGCATGGACTGCTCTCGGTAGCTTTTATTTCTTTAATAACTGATTGTGCTAATTAGCTGTCCGGACCAGCAGAAAAGTATTCAATCTGCACCTGACGTGAGTTTAGCGCGAGCTCCGGTAAAACACAATCAGCAAATCCATCAGTGTCACTTCTCATCTTAATACACGGAAGGACGAAGCTAAAGTTGGCTTCCTAGTCTCCAGCTTCTTGTTCGAGTTTTCCTGTTCCACCTTAAAAGTTGCAGTAGTCACTTTCTGGTGCCTGAAGCTGCACCATTTAAGGTGGAATGGGATAAGGTGCTAACGTAAATCTATTATGAATATCTTAATTCCATTAAGGAATGCTATAACTTACCTACAAAGCATTAACCATCATTGTAAATAAATAACTACTATATGAAGTTGAGATCCCCTGAATAGACTATTAAATTAAATAATCTTAATATAAAACCAGAGGAAAAACAATCACATCAACAGGTTCTCTGTGTGTCACCAACCACACGACCATATCTACACATAAACATCACACAAACAATACGCGTCACACAAACATGAGCGTGATTCGCTGCGCCCCGTTCTATAATTCTATCCCGCTTTCTGAGAGTAATATACTTTAAATAGTATAATTTTGGACAGTATTTTTCTTGAACTGCTCTGTAATGGCTCTGAATGCAGTCCATCAGCGATGTTGACCGCCCTAAAATGGCGGCGCCGTTGACGTGCCTGGCTGAACCCAACGCGGCATCTAGGTATGTCAAGCGGTCCTACTGAGCATGCGCATATCAGTAGTACAGCCTAGTGTATCTAACATTTTATTGTGTTTTTAATGTCCGTCCAGATTAAACTTTATATTGCTATTTATCCCCTGATACGGTGATTTAGGCTATCAACATTATCCTACCCATAGTTTTATATAGAGCTCTACCTATGAAAACGCGCTGCGTTTGGACATTTCGACAAGGTAGCACAATTTGTCAGACATCGGCTCCTGATAGACTCTTGGTTGCTAGGTAACGTCAACGTCACTACAACATTGCTTTCGCTTTCTTCTTCTCTTGCTCCTCTTCAGATAACGAAAGTAAGCGGAAGCCTTCATTTTAGTCGGCCTTCAGTGCTACCTAAGTTATTATTTTTTATTATTATTTATTTTTTTAGCCTCTTATGAACAGGTTTGCAGGGTCAGAGACAGGACATTTTGTTTTTCAGATGGACACTGCGCCTGCTGGATTGGGCTAAAATGAAATAATCTTGTGACGGGCCGCTGACTGTGAGAGAGGACGGTAAGCTAAGACAGAACACGAAAAACATGACGTTGTCAATAACTAACGGCTTCAAGCCCTGTCCGTCTTTAAACCCTGTCCGTCTTCAAGCCTTGTCCGTCTTCAAGCCCTGTCCGGCTTTAAGGCCGCGCCTGAAACGTAATAAAGGCTGCCTACTCACATAGCATGCTGAGGCAGGAAGGCACCCAGTCATGTCCGGAACGACTGTGTTATTTGTATGAAACGCTGCCTGCTGAGGTTCCGCTGTCCGGCCGGTTTTTGCAGGCAGCGTAGATGTATCCCTCGTCTTATATATCCCAGAATCCTCTATATCAACGCCGATGCGGTTGGGAAAAATAGCAGAAAACACCAGTGATGACACGCTGACGCATTGAGTGCCTTTTTTTCCTGTAATGTACTTTGTTGTGTGTTGTGGTTGCTCAACCCTCTGATCCGGATTAACAAAGGTGGTAGCATCATCACGCTACGTAGTTAAATTCTAGGTTTATTGCAGCACTTTTTGGAGCAAAATTCAATCATAGTGTTTTTACTGTTATTTGAGTTAATACTTAATAAACTACCTTTATTGCGCTACTTCCATTTTTTAATATAGAGTATAGAGTAAAAATAAATTATGAGCGTATCAGTTCATGAACCCATCAAAAGAAAGCAGGGTTAAATTTAAAAGATTCACCAGTTAAAACAGGGCAGCTCCCAGCAGCAAAGACACTAACTTACATAGACTTCCAGTTTAGTGGAGAGAGTAAAAGGAGAACTTTACCAGCAGACTTTATCCAAAAGGTCATCTGTATTCATTTATAAATTTCTGTTGTTGCTAAAACCTGTACTATACAGTATCAGTACAATTTAAAGGCTGTGAAGGTAATGTTGTCTGTCTGTAGAAGTTGACACCTGTTTGTGTAAGTTAACGTCACTAAAAATTACATTATTAATTGAGGAATCTACCCCAATCTACTGTGATTCAATCAAGTAATCAGTTTATTTAATTTATTAAAAAATAAATTAAACAGTTACTAACAGTGCAGAGCCTTGCAGGAATTCTGAAGTTCTTTACTAGAAACAGATACACTAGGAAGTCTTATATATTCATCTAACCATAAAATGCATTGAATTTAGTGTAAACCTTGTTCCTTACACAGTACACAGGAAAATGTGTAAATGTGCCCATACTGTGATTAGTGTCAGAGCTCAAACCTTTTTTTCTCACCTAATATCATGTTTTGCTTTAATTTTGTGAGTACAGATTATTTCCAGTAAAGTGGCAGAGTCAATTAAAAATATTTTCAGGGTGTGATTGAGGATATATGAAAAAGTAATCCGATTACTCAATTAGTTTTCCAAGAAACTACTTACTTTATTACTCTTATTTGAGCAGTTTTCTTTATTAATACTTCTACTTGTACTCAAGTAAATTATCATCAGCAAAATCCAACCTACATGTTCAGTTCCTTATAGTTCTTGTTTGGTTTGAATCAAGTTGAACAGTAGATGGCAGCATTCTCTCATTTAACCAAAGTGACAATGGGCCTAATTCACCAGTATCTCCTTAGGTTTTTTCTTAAATTTGTTCTTAAGAAAGTCCTAAGAAAAAACTCTATGCCAGGTTCATGATGTGTTCTGAAACTGCAGAACTGTTCACACCTTTGTGCTCTTGAGTGTGCGCAGATTCTGTTCTTACCTAAGAACAAATCCCAAATAAGAAAACACTGGTAAATGTCAGAGTCTTAATGAAAACTGGGCAAGTGGGTTTTAAGGAGAAATTTCTTCTTAAGAATGGTTGGTGAATGAGGCCCCATATTAGGTGTTGGCCGAATCTCAAATGGCTCTGTACTCCCTATATAGTGCACTGAGTCAGTCATGAAATAATAGCTTCTACACCCAAATAGCACATTGTATGTCTAAAAGAAAGTCATATGTATTCAGCCATAGGCTGATTAACTCACAATTTAACCTTTAGTGCACTGTTTGTGTATAGAATACATAGTCTTATGACTTATGTAGTGCACTATATAGGGAATAGGGAGTCATTTGAGATTGAGCAATTGTAAGATTCTAGTGACCGGCATTACAGTTCAATTCAAACGACTCATTGTTCAATAGCATAGCCAGTTTTTATTGTATTCAGCCACAGCTTAAATTAAAACTTAAATTGTTAAAAACCCTGCATCTTCATGTTAAACAGCATCTTATTCTAATGTATGATGTTTGTTGTAAAAGTTTATTGTTCAGAGCCCATCTAGGAAATATCAGTTTCTCTTTCATTATGTATGCATTTGTGACAAAAATCTTCAAGTAAGTAAGTTTGAGATATTTGATATACTTGAGAGTTGTTCGTTCCTTCTGGATGTCTGCATTTTGTCTTTTACATTGTACCCTCACAGCATTTATAGCATAGCTAATGCTGTATGACTGTTTGTTTCATACACCCCCCAATGCAGTACATCTGGGGTGTCCTTTTTTGTCATGGAGGGCCAAAGTGCAATGTTTGTTGTGGACCGAGGGAAAAAGACAAAACATTCGTTCATTCATTCATCTTCTTAAACTGCTTGATCCAGCTAGGGTAGTGATAGCAATAGGAAAAGCAGAGAATCCCAAATGCCCCTGTCCCCCGCAACTTCCTCCAGCTGGGGGGTCCCAAGCCACTCCCAGGCCAACTTGGAGATATAATCCCTCCCCCGGGTCCTAGGACGACCTCTGGATCTCGTCCCAGTTGGCCGTGCCTGATAAACCTTCAACAGAAGGCAGTCAGGAGGCATCCTAAAGACAGACACCCAAACCACCTCAACTGGCTCCTCTTAATGTGGGGGAGAAGCGGCTCTACTTTAAGCTCCTCACAGATGACTGAGCTCCTCACCCTATCAAGTGGATGAGAAAGCTCATTTCTGCTACTTATATCTGCAATCTCATTCTTTCGGTCATTACCCAAGGCTTATAACCATAGGTGAGGGTTGGGATGTAGACCGACCAGTAAACAGAGATCTTTGCCTTATGGCTCACCTCCCTCTTCACCACTGCAATCTGGTCCAATTTCACAGTCCCTCTTCCCATCACTCGTGAACAAGGACCTGAGATACAAAAATTCCTCCACCTGGGGCAGGTTCTCTCCCCTTACCTGAAGGGGGCATGCCATCCTTTTCCAGGCAAAGACCATGGACTCAGACTTGGAGGTACTGATCCGCATACCAACCATTTCACAGTCAGCTGCAAACCGCTCCAGTGTGCGCTGGAGGCATCCATGCGATGGAGTCAAAAGGACAACATCATTTGTTCAACAGTGTTCCTTCTAAATCTGAGGTTTGACTATCGGTCGGAGCCTCCTTTCCAGCACCTCAGCATAAACTTTCCCAGGGAGGCTATGCAGTGTGAAATCTCAGTAATTGGCACACCCTCTTCGGTTCTCTTTCTTAAAATAGGAACTACCACCCCAGTCTGCCAGTCCAAAGGTACTGTTCCCGAGGTCCATGCGATATTGCAGAAGTGTGTCAGCTTTGACAGCCCCACAACATCCAGAGCCTTAAACATTTCCAGGCAAATCTCATCCACCCCTGGTGCCTTGCCAAGGAGCTTGCTGACTACCTTGGTGACCTCCACCAGGGAAATGGAGTCTGACAGCCCTCTGGCCCTGACTTCCATGACTCCCTCTCTTCACCCGAGTGTCCATAACATATGGCCCCAAGTCAGTTGAAACGACAACAAAGTCCATCATTGACCTTTGACCCAAGGAACTCTGGTTCCAAGTACACTTACGAACATCCTTGTGTTCAAACTTGGTGTTTGTAATTGACAATCCATGACTAGCACAGAAATACAATAACAATTCACCATTCAGGTTTAGATTAAGCAGTCTATTCTTCCCAATCACAAAAAGATTAAACACTTCTCAAAATAACAAAACAATATAGCATTAACATTAACACTATATTTTATCTCTAAAATATGTAGAAAATACAAAGAAAGAAAGAAAAGAAGAAAAACAGTTATATACTTTATTAATTATAAGTTATATATGCTGATCAGTCACGTTAAAACCACCTTTTTGTTTCTACACTTATTGTTCATTTGATCATCTCCACTTACCATATAAGAGCACTTTGTAGTTCTATAATTACAGACTGCAGTCCATCTGTTTCTGTGCGTATCCAGCTTTCACCCTGTTCTTCAATGGCCAGGGCCCCCACAGGACCACCACAGAGCAGGTATTATTTGGGTGGAGGAACATTCTCAGCACTGCAGTGACACTGACATGGGGGTGATGTGTTAGTGTGTGTGGCACTGGTACAAGTGGATCAGACACAGCAGTATTGCAGGAGTTTTTAAACACTGTGTCCACTCACTGTCCACTCTATTGGACACTCCTACCTTGTCAGTCCACCTTGTAGATGTAAAGTCAGAGATGATAGCTTATCTGCTGCACAGTTTGTGTTAGTAATCCTCTAGTCCTTCATCAGTGGTCACAGGACGCTGCTCACAGGACGCTGTTGGCTGGATATTTTTGGTTGGTGGACTATTTTCAGTCCAGCAATAGCACTGAGGTGTTTAAAAACTCCAGCAGCACTGCTGTGTCTGATCCACTCGAACCAGCGCAACCCACACTGACATGCCACCACCACATCAGTGTCACTGCATTGCTGAGAATGATTCACCACCCAAATAATACCTGCTCTTTATTTTTCTAACTAGCTGGTCCTGACAGCTGATCAGTGACGTAAAACATATGAGCCATATTTTGCCTGAGGTGCCAGAATGTAACTGCTGCACCATTTAAGTTGGAATGGGAAAATTCAAATGAGAAGCTGGTAAACAGAAAGCCAGCTTCAGCCTCCTCTTATCTATTTCACTAATAAACAACATTTTTTTCCTGAAGTATATTACATATTTGGTTCCTATGTCACTGTAAACTCACTGTGTGAACATGCAACATAATGTGTTATGTTGTCAAAGCTTTGGGGATTCGTTTCAGTAAGGATGTTAGCATCTGTGTGCTAATCTTAGCTTAGCTTGCACTGAACTAGCTTTATGACCTATAGCTTTGGCAGGGGCTGAAATATAAAATGAGCTACAAAAGCAATTGTGTATCAGCCCTTTTTTTTACTGCATATTAAAAAATTCATCTGTGAAGCAGGAGGACTGTTTTATTCTGTTAGCGGCACCAGCTGTTTCAGTGGTTAGACTAGCTTGAGGCACCAGAATATAATTGCAGTGTGATTATAATTTGGACAGAAAGCTGCCGAAAAAGAAGCTAACTTCATTGAGAGTTGAAAAGCATGAGGAGTGAGGAAGGAATGAGGAGGTTTCTCTGTTTCTGCTTGACAAGGTGGTAACATTTGCTAATTGCTAATGTTTGTGATAGCTAATTCCAATTGGTTAGCTTTGCAGCAATTGTAGTGACAGTTTGCTAACCCACAACCTAGCTAACCTTGGTTAGATTACTTGCTGTGTTTTTGTTCACTTTAACGTTATGTCATGGTATTTGTCCTTACAACATTTGTGAAGGCTTTTATGGCCATAAAGATCGAAACAAATTTTGTTCGCCTTGGCAATGTGCATCCAAGAATTAGAGGGGATGAGGGGATGGGGATGAAGCTTCTGAAGAACCACTAAAGCGAGGCGTGTATTGGTTTTGCTGTTGAGTTCAAATATCAACAATCTTTTTCTAGAATCCCTTACTGCGCTTTTCAGTGGGGCATCCAGCCCTGCCCTTTATCTGTATTGGCTATTGGCTGATCGTACTGAAGGGCAATCGGCAATCGGAATCAGCCCCAAAAACACCAATTGGGGCCATTAAAGTATGCAGAGAAACAGATGGACTACAGTCTGTAATTGTACAACTACAAAGTGCACCTACAGTGCCCTCCACAAATATTGGCACCCCTGGTTATCATGAGCAAAATGTGCTGTAAAAATGTTCTTAATTACTTATCCTTTTGATCTTTCATTCAAAATATTAGGAACAATCTAACCTTTACTTAAGGTTTAATGATTTAATGCAAAAAGCTAAATCTGGTCATGAAATAAAGACTTTTCTTAATCTACCTGTACCACAATTATTGGCACCCCAAGAAATCTTTACAAATGAAATCAAACTGAAGTATATTGCCATTCATATTTTATGTTTTAAAGTTCACATAAGTGATTAGGAACACTTAAATGGTCAGCCATGACTTTCTGTTTCACTAGGGAATATATATGATGTGACACGAAGGCCATCTTTCCTCATTCATCGTTATGAGAAGGACCAGAGAATACAGCTATGATGTACAACAAAAGGTTGTTGTCCTGCACAAATCAGGAAATTGCCACAAGAAAATAGTTAAAGTTGAAAATGCTCATTTCCACTATCAGGGCAATAATTAAGAAGTTTAAAACAACTGATTTTAGGAATCTGACAGGAAGAGGACATATGTCTGTACTGGGGGAAATGATGGGAAATTGCAGAAATTAGTTAGGTCTTAGGGTCAGAACCTCTCCCAAACCACAATCAAACACCACTTATATAACTACAAGTTTGGGGGCGTTGCCAGAAGAAGGCCCTTGCTGTCAAGAACCAACAAACTCAACTACCTACAGTTTGCCAGACATTATCAGAACTTTCAATGGGACAGTGTTCTATGGTCAGATGAAACCAAAATAGAGTTTTTTGGCAACAAACACAGATGTGAGATTGAAGTGGACAAAAAGGAATGTACCTCATCCCCACTTTGAAGTATGGTTTTGGATCTGTGGTGTTTTTTTTCTTTGAAAGACCTAGCTTTATAGAGGAAGTTGATGATCAGAGACATTTGTACTTCTAAAAGTGAACAACTGTCTTACAGAGAAGTATGAAAAGGCAAGAGCCAAAGCAAGATGAGGAAGAGAAAGATAATTTTGCAAAAAGGCCCAGAAGAACCTCAACAGAGCCAGAGGATGAGGTGGTAAGTACTGTTGTTTTCTCACATTCTTGGCCCAGTTTCAACCCTAACCCCTGTTTCTTCCACTGTTCCTTCTCACTTAAAAAGTCATGATGCAGCCAAATCACATGAGACAAAAGAAGAAGAGGTGCGGGACATTCTTACTGCACAGCTTTGACTTTTTTCCAAATTCAGACAGATAACTAAATATTCACTTTTTAAGCCAGCATCTAATGCACCTTATTAAACCGTCTATCTAACTATTGCTAAATGTTCAACAGTGCTGCGAACTAGGAGAGAGGAGCAGGTTAGCATTTGCTCAGCTAGCATGATAATATCCCTGCTCACCACAGAACACATTTGATTCTGGCTAACTACAGCTAACTGGCTAACTTGATTGGCATGTTGACAACAAAGATGACGGATTAGCTGCGTCCCAGCAACTGGAACTTTTTCGCGAATGTCGCAAGGATCACAATCTCCAAAAGCATGTCAAACATCCGAGTTATATATGTAAAGTTGCAGCTGTTGAATGATGCAGTAAAGCCCTCTGTGCTATGAATAATCGCCTTTGGCAGTTGAAATTGTGATTAACATCATCAGCTTAATTTCTCAGCTCCTAAGTACTAGAAATAGATCAGCATATGAAGGAACAGTTCTCCAGTAAAGAACATCCATCACAGTGGAGTTCTTTGGAGCTAGACACCCACTCTAACATTCACAAAGATATTTGGCTGCCCAAAATGAATGGACAGTTTGTAAAGGTTACCATGTTATTCCTTTTTGTGCAAGTTTGAGTTGCAGTTGTTATATTGAAAAGTGCAATGCTCGTTGCCTTTTTAGTACATGTTTTGATAGTAAACCCTATAGTTTTGAAATATTAGTAGTTTCGTAATAGTGTTTAGGTTTAAATTGTTGGACCTTTCTTGCAAGCAATGTTGTATTTTTCATAAACAAATACTGACAAGCTGTTTGTTCCTGTTCTAGTCAGGAAAACCAGATTCATCCTTTGACTGCGAGGACATGTATTGTCATGGACAAAAGAGCACTGGAAAAAGGTCTGCAATGCAAAAGTCTAACACATATATGATAGTGGAATTTACTTAAGTTTTTTTAAAGGTTAGCATTGTTCTTGTTTGTGAATAAAACTTCAGAAGTTGCCAGTCATGACTTTTCTTTTTACACTTAGACTTTTTGTTGCGCAATTCAAGGTGAAACAGGAAAATTTGAACAAGAAGCTGGTTAACCAGAAGCTAACTTCAGCCTCATTGTTCTCTGTGGCTAACACCAAGCCAGTATGTAATGTTACTGTCCAATTTCACGTGTACAACTCAGATTATGTAAAAATTACAGAAAAAAGTTTGTTTTTGAAGTTGACTGTTGTGAAATCCCAAGTTAATGCCAGTGCTAATGATGCACTGCATTCACATAAAACAAAAACGTAAATGGTTAAAGTAAATAAATGATAAATTAGATGTTTTATCAAGTTTTCTACACTTTTCTGGAGTGAAGTTGGCATGAAAAACAAGTAGCCGCTCCATCTCTGTCACTTAGAATGAGACTGCAAATCACTCACAAACATTACAGATGTCCTGAGGTAAACTGGCATTACCTCACCTCCCCACAAAAAAATTAATCTTGTCTAAACGGAGGTTAAGATATTAAAGAATTACTACTCTTGAACTGGATCTTCATGGTTCAAACTGGCTTGAAAAAACTGGCTTGAGCTATGTCTTTAATACATTCCTCCACATCTACCTATCTATCTATATAAAATAAATTTTATAATCTTTATTGTTTTCTTTTATATTTAATTTATCTTTTATATTTAACTTATTTAACTGTTTCATTTTTTGCTTTGCATGTGCTGGTATTTCCTTCAGGAAATGTGTATCTAGTTTAATTATATTAATTAAAAATATTGAACTCAATTTAATTTTGCTGGTGAAATGGCCACTAGGGGGCCTACAGAAAGAGGCTACCATGCAATTTGAAATCTGAAAAGTTAGAAATGAGATTGATCTAAATAGAAAGGCTGTGATAATTTAATTAAAAATGTGACAGTTAATGAGGTCTTTTGTGTGTTCTGGTTACAGTGCTGAAACAGGGAGATCACAGTCAACATCTCCTAGCTATATCTCTATGAAAAGTAACAAGTCACTAGACCGACCAATAAAGTTCAACCAGGGAGAAAATAGGAGTGGAGAAAATTGGCCAACCTCAGCAACAGCACCACAGGAATACACCCTGCAAGACACCACTGGACACCTGGAGGAGAGATTCTGTCCAGAGCACAACATGCCTATGGAAGTGTTCTGCAAGACAGACCAGACCCTGATCTGCAAAGAGTGCGCAACTCTGACACACAGAGGCCACAAGAAACGCTACACAACAAGAGCCAGGGTAAGAGATCAGCTGCTTAGATTCAAGAAATATTGTGTAGTTCAAAAACATTATGTAGACCATGCATGGCTATATGTTGAATGGGCTTGTTGTATGTGGGTTTCTAGATCAGGAGAGTAGATGAGGATATCATCTTTATCTGCAATAATGAATTTCCAATCATGTCATGAAGTACATCATTAATGAAGGCTTGAAACATGGAGGGCACATTTGACAGGCCAAACGGCATGACTAAATACTCATAGTGCCCTGTAGTGGTGACAAAGGCAGTCTTCCATTCGTCACCCTCTCTAATTCTCACCAGATTGTAAGCACTACACAGATCTAATTTTGTTAAGTATTTTGCCCATCGCAGCTGCTCTAATGCTGCCGGAATGAGTGGAAGTGGATACATATATTTCTTAGAGATCTGGTTCAGGCCTGGTATGCATGACAATTGCCACTCTAAATGATAGCCTTGGTCCAGTCTGTAGCTAAAATTTGCAAGCACTGTGCTGCAAAGTGCTGCTTTTGCATTTACTTTACTTTTTAACCCCTTAAAAGGTCAGGGTCTGCCGGCAGGCCCAAAGTTTTATTACACACCATTTCAAATGTATACATTCAAATGTATAAGAATGAATGTGCCCCAATTCGTCAGTGCCTCACTGGTTTTTGTCATTACTACATTAAATTAAAGCCACGGTGAGACCACAGAAAGCCACAGTAGATCACATGTTGCTTAAAATTAACACAGAAAGGCAGTCAGTCATTTAAATAAACATAAAAATACTAATTGTCTGTTACCTCAGCTAATGTTACTAGCATTTTGTGTGAGGAGGTAGTAAACTGACTCACAGTGCTAAATTATGTCAAGTTTCATTTCAATACATCTAAACAAGAAGAGTGTAAAAATGAACTTCACCTTTTTACATGTGTTCTATAGCACCGCTCTGCTACATGTCACTAAATGGTCCATACAGGGGCCTAGCAGCCATTTTAAAAGTGTGGGGGACACAGTTGTCAGTAAGTAATGCCCCTCCCACTCCTTATCTGTATCAGAAGGTGATTGCTTAAAAAATGACAGGCATAGGAGAGATGTTTATATTTGATTGATCCTTCAAACTCATTTATTGACAACTGTGTCCCCCTCACTTTTAAAATGGCTGCTACGCCCTGGAATAAAAAATTTCATGTTGGCCAAAGTGCCCCTTCCATAATTCTTTTTTGCTGCCGTGTTTTTTTGGTTACAGGTCCTCCAGGAGCTCAACACAGTGTCTTTACTTGAGCAAACACTGATCAACATAGACAAGAATGAGTTTATGAAATATCTGTGTCAAAATTGTCCTGAATACTTTGAGTCTTCTCTGGAGGCTCATGACGTCCACAAAGCATCTGAACTTGTTCTGAAGAGCTTTGGCTCAGAGGGTGCTCTAAAGATAGTCTTGAAGTTCATGCTTGAGAAAGGTAGGAGAAAATGTATTCTGTGTCCTTGTGTAATTGTCTTTGATAACTTTGAGATGTTACGGTCTGACTTTTATTAGAAATAAGGCACTAAACAAGTATTGGATATAGGCAGAAAATTTGCAGTACGCTTAATGTAGAAGGAGAAGATAACAGATACACTGAATGGTTTTGCTTTTTAAAACTGCGGCATAGTAACAGTGTTGCTCATGTTGTTTGTGCTCACCCAAATAGCTCTGGTTAATTTGAAAAATGTTTGAAATATTTCTGCTTTTTTGTCTTTTTATTGTGCATATAAACATTCCATGAAGGATTTAAAAGGAAATTCCAAACTTTAAAATGTCTGCTTAGTTCATTCATTAGGATGTAAAAAGTCATTCTGAATTGTTTTATGTGAAATGGTGCATTCTAGAGAAATGTACAGACTTTTAATTCTTTACAATGGTGAGAGGAACCACTGTCTGCAAATACAAATATAGCCAATAATTCTTAGTAAGTTTGTCTAGAATGCGCATTTACATCAAACCATTCAGGATGACTTTGTTTAAATCATAACTGTACAGAAATGCAGAAATTTTGAGAAATCAGTAGAATTCCCATTTAAGTTACACTAGGAATAAACAGGGGTTATATCCACATTACTGAATCAATCTTCGTCTTTCTGCAGGGAAGCACATCCAGGATCGTCTTAAATCTAATCTACAAGATCATCTTAAATCTAAATTTGAGTGCATACGTGAGGGAAATGCTCAACAAGGGAATCCAATCCTTTTAAATGAGATCTTCACAGAGCTGCTGATTACAGAAGGAGGGAGTGGAGATGTCAATAAAGAACATGAAGTCAGGTTGATCGAGGAAGCATCAAAGAACAAAGGCATTCGAGAGAACGCAATAAAATACAACGACATCTTCAAACCTTTACCCGGACAGAGAAAACGCATCAGAACTGTGCTCACAAAGGGCATCGCTGGGATTGGGAAAACAGTTTCTGTGCACAAATTCATCCTGGACTGGGCAGAAGGGAAGGCAAACCAGGACATCCACTTCATGTTTCCACTCCCTTTTCGTGATCTGAATTTGAAGGGAAATGTCAAATATAGCTTAATTCAACTTCTTCATCAGTACTTTCCAGAACTCAAAGAACTACAAACTATTAGGAGTGAGGAAGTAAAGACTGTGTTTATCTTCGATGGTCTGGACGAGTGCCGACTTCCTCTTGATTATAAGAACAATGAATTGTGTTGTGACCCTACGAAGAAAACGTCTGTGGATGCGCTGCTAACAAATCTCATTCAGGGGAATATACTTCCCTCTGCTCTCCTCTGGATAACCTCCCGACCAGCAGCGGTCAGTCAGATCCCACCTGATTGTGTTGACCAGGTTACGGAGGTCCGAGGATTTAATGATTCTGAAAAAGAGGAGTACTTCCGGAAGAGGTTCAGTGAACCAGGCCTTGCTGACAGAATTGTTGCACATATAAAGTCTTCAAGGAGCCTCCACATTATGTGCCATATTCCAGTCTTCTGTTGGATATCAGCCACAGTTCTGGAGAAAATGTTAGATAAACCAGACTGTGAAGAAGTGCCTAAAACTCTGACTCAGATGTACACCCACTTTCTTATTATTCAAACTCAAATGAAGAACAAGAAGTACCATGGAGTGATTAGGGACGAAATAGACCTGATGGAATCAGATAAGGAGATGATCACAAAACTAGGAATGCTAGCATTTCAGCAATTGGAGAAAGGAAATCTAATTTTTTATGAAAAAGACCTGACAGAATGTGCAATCGATGTCAGCAAAGCATCCGAGTACTCTTCAATTTGTACAGAAATCTTCAAAGAAGAGCTTGGATTGTACCGAACTAAGGTCTTCTGCTTTGTGCACCTGAGCATTCAGGAGCATCTCGCTGCAGTGTACGTGCAACTCAAATTTGTGAACAGCCACATTAACATACTGAGTGAAGACTCAGAGAGTCAGAGCAGTAACTTGTCAGATTTGCACAAGAGTGCTGTGGACAGAGCCTTGCGGAGTGAGAACGGACACTTTGACCTTTTCCTTCGCTTTCTTCTCGGTCTCTCACTTCAGTCCAATCAGGTTCTTTTGAGAGGAATACTGTCAAAACATTCTGTGGAAAGCTTTGAGGAAACTGTGGACTACATTAAGGAGAAGATCAGAAATGAGTCTTCAGCAGAAAGAACCATCAACCTGTTAAACTGTCTGAATGAATTGAATTACAATTCTTTGATGGAAGAAATCCAGAGTTTCTTGAGATCAGGCAGGTATTCTCAGACAGAGCTCCAACCTGACCAATGCTCTGCTCTTGCCTATGTGCTGCTAACATCAGAGGATGTGCTGAATGAATTTGACTTGAAAATGTGCAACACATCTCCTGAAGGATATCGTAGATTGTTACCAGTTGTCAAGACTTCAAAAAGAGCCATGTAAGTTATTGTTTTCTACTCAGTAACAAAGCATCAAATTATTTTATTACACACAATGAAATATATCATCTTTCATTAGTATATTCTACAAACTTCGTTTCCAAGAAGTTGGGACAGTATGTGAAATGCTAAAAAAACAGAAAGCAGTGATTCGTAATCTTTGCTTTGAGTTGTATTTAAGTGAACAGTATGAGGACAAGATATTCATGTTTTACCCTATTAACTTCATTGTTTTTTTGTGAATATTTACTCATTCTGAAATTCATGCCTGCAACAAGTGCCAAAAAAGTCAGAGCAATTAAAGACTGGTGGTGCAATCATGCTTGAGTATAAAAGGAGTATCCATGAAAGGCCTAGTTCTTTATGACCAAAGATAAGTTGAGGTTTGCCACTTTTTCTGTGTTCACATGACAAGCATCATTGTGTAAATCTGTTTTTTTGCTCAGTTTTTGTTTGGTTCACACTTGATTAGGTAAGTGACTCATTAATTTGATAAAACAGTTTTCTGAAACGACCTACATGCACACATCATAATCAATAACACCACGTGAATGAATCACATGAATCATTAACAGAAAAATAAACTAACCAGCAGAACAAGCCTTAGCTTCAAAGATAATCAGCCTTGAACTGCTCCCACTGGCTCATTATTAGACGGAGATGATGTCAAAAAGGGTAGGATGTGTTGCTTTTCTACCATTTACTGGCTTTAACTTCAAGTTAAGCGCTGCTGGCACTGTAACAATGAATAAACGAAGAATAAAGTCAGCAAATAATACAACGATTTAAGAACAATGATCCTCAATGAGTGATTGCAAGTTTTTTTTTGTATTCCACCCTCTGCTCTGAATGTCATTTTCACAGACATCCACATGAAAGTGTAAAAACACATTCTGCATGTGTTACAACCGCATGGCTTTGTAATCAGAAAATTCAAGTGCTAAACAAGTCAAAAGTCAAGTCAAAGTTTATCTATATAGCGCTTTTCACAACAGGTGTTGTTACAAAGCAGCTTTACAGAAAAAATCCGGGTCCAAGCCCCCATGAGCATCGCCAATGGCGACAGTGGCAAGGAAAAACTCCCTAAGAGCTAGAGGAAGAAACCTTGAGAGGAACCAAGACTCAAAAGGGAAACCCATCCTCCTCTGGTGGACACTGGATAGCAAAACAGCATTAGTATAACATATTTGAGTATAAAAATGGGGAAAAACAAATGGAGCAATGGTTAATTAGATAGTTTAAGTTTATGCAGCAGCAGCAGCATCAGGAGGGTCAGTTGCTAGTAGTCCAGACATATTTCCTATTAAATATGTGTGTCACATTATGAAGTGTAAGATACAACAGTGAAGACCCTGTATGGTTGTGCAGACTTGTATAATGAAAAAAAAGGCAAATAATTCCACTTTCAAAATTGGAACAGTTGGTGACTTTGATCCCAAAATGATTATTAGGTGCTGTGAAAAGGAAAGGTACCAGTAACACACTGGTAAACATGTCCCAACGTTTTTAATATGTTGCAGACATCAAATTTGGAATGAGTTTCTATTTACAAAAAAAATAAAACCATAAGTCCATAAGGTAAAACATATATTTTAATACAAGTCAAATAATTTTCTAATCACTGCTTTTTGGTGTTGTTACTATTTTACATAGACTCCTAGATGGAATCAAGCTTTGCAAGCAAATGCATGCTCAGTAAACTTCACAGTTATATTGTGTTTTTATGCTAAATGTAGCATGCAATGTTCTGCAAACGTGCTTCTGTGATGTTTTGTTTTAACCTTCCACAGTCTTGCAGGTATCAGTCTCACAGATGAATCATGTGAAACTCTAGCTTCAGTTCTCCAATCATCTAACTCGCACCTGAAAGAACTGGACCTCAGCTCCAACAATCTGGGAGATTTAGGAGTCAAGCTTCTCTGTGCTGGGCTCTCAGATCCGCATTGTAAATTAGAGAAACTGAATCTCAGTCACAATAAGCTAGAAGACATAGGAGTGAAGCTGCTTTGTGAATGTCTGATGAGTCCACACTGTAAGCTGCAGACACTCAGGTTTGTACTGAAGTTTAAATTAAAATTAAGATTAAAGTCTGTGTAAAGTAAATTCAAAGATTTGTTTCTAATAACATCATTTTCACACAAATAATTGCTGAAAACATGAAAAGACTGTGAACCATATAATACTAAATTAAGAAGTTAGACAGTCAAACTTTTTTTCATCAGTTTTATGTTCAGAATTTTTGGGTAGGCCTGAAATGATAGCTCGATTACACAGGAGCCATTTTCAGCATGACCTCTTCCCTAACACTGTAAAGCTATAAAAACTAGAGTGCATCAGTGGTTCTCCCACGTGACCACAAAAAGGGTTTTGTTCTGTTATTTATTGATAGCTGAACTTTATTTGGCTAGGTTATGCTAGTCAGTAATACCGGTTGCTAACTTTCATAAATGGGAGAAAAAATTACCGTTCTGTCGCAGACTGAGAGGAATGAGGTTGATTCTTGCTGGCTCTGGCTCTGAATTGTATTCTGGCCCTGATGACTCAAATGTATGACTGTACAAGTCCAATAAATCTGCTAGACGGAGCATCCATTTTTCAGGTCATAGTGGTATTTGACACTTGAGAGAGGCTGCACTGAAGTGAAAGTTCATTGAATTCTGTGTGTTTTAGTCAGCTGAAGCGCTGCTAGCAGCTTCATTTAAATCCAAGAGAGGCTTTGCTGCCTAACCTTGTGAGCTGACGAAGCTTAAGTCAGCTTCCTGTTTGCCAGCTTCTTGTTAAAGTTTTCCTGTTCCACCTTAAATGGTGAAGGAGTTACATTCTGGCAAAGACAAAGGTGAAGTCAGCTTCCTATTCGAATGTTCTTGTTCCACCTTAAATGGTGCAGCAGTTACATTATGGATGACATCTTGAAAGAGGCTGCACCTTTCCTGCTGTAGGGCAGCCTACAGCAGACATGCCCCTAGCATTTCAGAGCAGAGAATACTGCTTATTTTTTATGATTTTTAAAGTGATGTTTTATATTCATGAATTTTTTAATATTCAAATTTGGCTCAGTGGTCAATAACACAATTTTCTGTGGTGTGACAAACTCAGAACACATTTACTACTGCTTTACACAGATTTTAAAAGGGAGCATTGTTAAGTATTCACTGTCGTTTACTTACTTGGCTAGTTAGCTTGATAGCAGGTTTTCAGGCAGTGCTGGCTTCAGTTACCTGCTTTACTCCACCTGACTGAGGGTGCTTCTGTGATATCTGGTTAAATATGTAGAATTCTTTCTCTGCAAATTACCTTTGTCTCTGTACAGAGTAAGTATTGGGTTAGCTGTCATGTATGTTCATTTAACATATGCTCTTGTCTAATGAGTCTTGCAACGCAAAATATCCAGTGTATGAATATAAAGGCAATGCACGTAAGTTTGAAGATGTAATTTGTATTACTATTATTTTGTAAACTTGATTTAAATATTTCCTGTTTGCAGTTTGGCTGGCACCACCTTCTCAGAACGATCTTGTGACTTGATGGCATCAGTTTTCCAGACTGAAAATTCACTGAAAAAGCTGGACCTTGGCTGCAACAACAGGAAAGACACTGGAGTGAAGCTGCTTTCTGCTGGACTGAAAAGTTTACACTGTAAACTAGAGAAACTTGGGTAAACTTAATGTAGTGTGTGTCTTTTGTGATCAGAGCTGACTTAGTGGGGCTGGACACATTCACACAGAGTCAGGATATGCAGGTCAGCAATCTACAGAATAAGGAGTGTGGATCAATATGGCTGTGTATTACAGCTTTGGGACCTGCCCTGATGAGCACATGCAGTTTGGTAGCTGTCAGGCAAAGAAACTAATGCTTGAGTGGAGATGAAAATGAATGGGATTCTAAGGGAGAACAGAGGAATGAAAAAAAATGACAAACTGATGAGTGTGGGTCAGAACAACTTTCAATTCGTGCTCAGGGGCCTGCCTGGGGCTAACATATGTGAAATGGTGTCTTTCGGTTGCTGTGGTATCCTAGATGGTTGGTTGGTGGTTGCCAGGCAGTTGTTGTGGTATCCCAGATAGTTTGTAAGGTGTTGTTTGGTGGTTGCAGTGGTTTTTCAGGTGGTTGCTAGGTGGTTTGTATAGCATTGCTTTGCAGTGTGCAGTCACTAACTAAAAAAGTTCATTCCCCAAAGAAAATGTAGTGGTTGCACGGCTTAAGCTTGCTAAGATGTGGCTAGGTTGTTTCTATGGATTGTAGGCTGTTCACAGGTGGTTACTCTGGTATCCCAGATGGTTTGTAGGGGGTTGCTACGTGGTTGCTGTATACAACACGCCATTCCCAATCAGACCAAACATTGCGCAGTTGCAACGGTGTTGATATCTCGAAAACTGTGGGACGTTACCAAAATATACTAACCAAGAAGAAGAAGAATATTTTGTTTGATATGAACCAATCCGTGTTTTTGGGGTTGACACGAATCACCAATCAACTTTCAGCACAACTGGCCGATAGCTGTTACTGATAGCAGGCAGGATGCCACATTTAAAGGCGCAGTAAGCAATTCTGAAGAACGATTGTTAATATTTAAACTCAACAGCAAAACAAATACACCTTTTTAGATCTTCATGACCTTCAAACCATTTGCAAACATTGTACAGACAAAAAACAGCAAACTTCCTACAGTTGCTGCTGCAAAGCTAACCAGTTGGGATTAACTCTCACAAACATTAGCAAACAGGGCAAAACAATACTGACCTGTTAGTTCTCTGAAACAGCAAAAAAGTTAATGTTACTCATCTGTCAATTCAGAAACAGAGCAGCTCCTTCATACCTTTTCATGCCTTTCATCTCTTGATGAAGCTGAAGTCAGCTTCTTTTTTGAATTTTCCCGTTCCACCCTAAATGATGCAGCAGTTACATTCCGGTGCCTTGGGTAAGCATAACCACTAAAATCACCAGAACCTATGCAACTGGCACAGCTAACAGGACAAAACAGTCCTGCTTCTTGAATGGATTTTTAAATATGTGATAAAAAACAAAGGCTGACATGATTGATTTTGTAGTTCTTCATCTTATTTTTATTTTCAGTCTCCGCCAAATCTGTAGGTCATGAAGCTAGTGCAGGGTAAGCTAAGCTAAGATTAGCGTTGGGATGCTAATGTGCTGACAGAAACGAATCCTCACAGCTTTGACAACAAAATGTGTTAATTACAGCTCTACACATTCACTCAGCGAGTTTACATCGTAATATGAGCCAAATATGTAATAAACTTCAGGAAAAATGTTTTTTTATTAGTGAAATAGATATGAAGAGGCTGTTTGGCTCCCTATTCGCCAGCTTCTTGTTCGAATTTTCCTATTCCAACTTAAACAGGGGAGCAGTTATGTTCTTAATTAACTAGATTAGGTTAGATTAGGGTTGGAGTTCAACTCTGCAAGACAGTAGACCAGCAGGATCAGGGTTGGGCACCCCTACTCTTGTGGGACACCCTGACACTCTGCAAAAGCCTTTCTAATGTTGATAATAAAAACATTACACACACACACACACACACACACATTTTCCAAGCCGCTTATCCTCCTGGGTCAAGGGGGGTGGTGGAGCTGATAAAAACATTACAGTGATAGTAAAAAAATGTACATTAGAAACTGAACCATATTAAGATAAACCAAAAAATGTCCCTGTTTGCTACTCTACAGGTTGGACAGATGTGACCTGATGGATGAATCTTGTGAAGCTTTGACAGCTGCTCTACAGTCACCCAGCTCATGCATGAAAGAGCTGAATCTCAGCTACAATAAGCTGGGAGACTCAGGAATGAAGTGGCTCTGTGATGGACTAACACATCCAAACTGCAAACTGGAGAAACTTGATCTCAGCTACAATAACCTTGGCCATTCTGGAGTAAAAGTTCTCTGTGCTGGACTGATGAACCCAGACTGTAAACTGAAGAGTATAAGGTTTTTGAAAGAAGATTGTTTTGTTGTTATAGGATTATTTTGGATTGATGTAGATGTTGTAATTTGGTACTATTGATGTAGTGACAAGGATGTTATTTGTCATCTGTAGACTTGCTAATGTTGGCATTCTGGAGGGGACATGTGAAACTCTCACCTCAGTTCTAGAGTCAGCAAATCCACACCTGAGAGAGCTGGATCTCAGCAACAATTACATGGGAGATTCAGGAGTGAAACTGCTATGTCCTGGACTGAAGAGCCCAAACTGCAAACTAGAGAAACTGAGGTGATATTGTATTATATATGTTGTCTCAGTACCACAACACACATACACACAGTTTGAGTTTACTTTATAAAATTAAATACCACTTTTTAATTTACAACTGTTATTCCAAATGAATCCAGGGAAAAATGGTATGTTGAGTATGGATGAAAATATGTGTACAAAGAGTAACCGTTATATAATTTATGTGTTCTCTATTGCAGTCTGTGCTGGTGTAATCTCACAGACGGATGCTGTTCAAATCTAGCCTCAGTGTTGAGTTCCCTCTCTTGCTTGAGAGAACTTGAGCTGAGAGACAATGACCTGCAGGATTCAGGTGTGAAGCAGCTTTGTGCTGGTCTTCAGGATCCACAGTGCACACTGCAGAAACTGAGGTAAGTAAAGATGTGTAGCATCAGGGATTAGAAGCATTTTCTGCCTCCCATGATTTTGTTGGATTCATCTAAATGTAGTTATTCAAAGACAGTTTCTGTCTGCCATGAACAAATTTACAACACTGTTAGTTTTTAAAGGCATTCTTAACACTAATGTATTGACAGAGTAAGGAATTTCTGCCCTTCCCAGTTTAGAAGGTGCACCCCAAACCTCCACACTAATTGCACTTTTCAAGTCATATTGAACAGGCAAAACAAGTAACTTTAGTGACTTTGAACATGATGGTTCAGGCATCTCCCAACATCTATCATCCTGAGTTTTCATGCTCAATCATTTCAAAAGTTTGATGCAAATGGTATGAAAACTCGTACAACTTCTGGCAGCATGCATCCAAACAAAGAAAAAATAGAAAGATCATATCACTCCAGTTTTGAAAGAACTGCACTGGCTACCTGTATCTTTCTGGATACAGATTTTAAAGTTCTGCTACTATGTTTTAAGGCTTTAAATGACCCTAAAGCACCACTTACATCACAGATTGTCTGTCTGTTTATGTTCCAGCACATAATCTTAGATCTGCAGATACTGACCTTCTACAAATACCGTCCGTAAAATACAGAAAACGTGGAGCAACTTGTTCAGTTATTCTGCTTCTAAACTGTGGAACTCAGTTCCACCTTTTTTTAGACAGTCAAGCTCAGTGCTCACTTTTAGGAAGCATCTAAAAACGTATCTCTTTAACTTTGCATTTAATTAAAACTATGTCTTATGGTATTTATCTTCATAAGTTGATCTGTTATTTTTTATAGGATTTTAAATTAATACTCACTTGGATGGACACTTCTGTATCATAAGACACACTTCATTGCTAAATAGCAAGAACATGACAAATTGTTATTACTTCATCAACCTGTATAGACCCCAAAACTAAACTCTCTCAAACATCTTTGAGATATTTTTAGCAAGACCATGCAGTTGCAAATCAGATGGCTGCACTACTGTAGTCTCACTACAAACAGCCCTTTGCACCTCATCTGGAAGAATCATTTCTATGTGGGGCAATGTTTCCTTCCACTGTATCCAAAAAAAACATGCCTGTAGGCAAATTCATATTGTCCTGATCAAGGTCAAAGGAGGCGCAACTAGGTGTACCTAATAAACTCACAATTTACTGTAGATCAATGTGTAATTTTCCATGCGGGTATGTAAAACACGCACAGGATTGGGCTTAATAAAAAAATGCCATTTTGCAGATAATGAAGTTAGTCCAGACATCATACAGATTTCCTTGTAAATGAAAGCCAAATTTATCATCTATAATATGCCTACTAAAAATAATGCTACTGATAAATGTCACCTAAGCAAGCTGGCACATTAGCCTTAACAGAAAATTCCAAGAGCATTGTTGTGAGAATTTTAAAGATTATTTTTAAAAAATATTACTCTGTCTAATTGATCATATGCTTGTAAATATCAAGCATGTTACCAGCTCTTGTATTAAACGTGAATGGAGTCTAATAATTGTTTTTTTCTCATTAGTCTTTCAGGGTGTTGTGTTACAGAAGAAGGTTGTTCTGCTCTAGGTTTAGCTTTGAACTCAGATCATTCAGAGCTAAAAGAGCTTGACCTCAGCTATAATCATCCTGGAGAACAAGGGTTGAGACAGCTGTCCACCATACTGGATGATCCATGCTGTAAACTGGAGAAACTGAAGTAAGCAGAATAAAGATTCTGTGTCTCCACACAGATAATTTCTTATATCAGAGGCTTCTGAAATTAAAAAGAGCTCTCAAAGACTCTCTAGAACTTCAAAGTACCTCTAAACCTTCACCTGGAGACATACAGATATGCTCATTACTCATCATAACTCTATGTAGCACACCTTGTGGTAGTTTTTAAGATCTGCAGAAGCTCAAATCTGGAAGAATAGGTTTGCCATAATCTTAGTAGCAGATACTTTGAGTTCCAGTTGAACAGCCACTACAGCTTTGGCTAATGTTCTGTTCTTTCTATAGTGTGGAATGCTGCAGTGAGTTCAGAAACAAACCAGGACTGAAGAAATGTAAGTGTTATATTTATTTCAATATTTAATGATTTTTTGGTGCTCACATATTAATGTATTAGTATTGTAAACTAATGTATTATTTTGCCTGTTCATTATTTGGTCTTTGCTGTACTACATGGTTAATTTAAGCTTATCTGTGTAGTCTAACATGTTACATTGATGAATCACTTCTTAATCACTGGATTTTCACTATGCTCCTCAGGAATGAATACTGATGCTAAATGAGGCCTATTGTTTACTAACTGATGTCTTATTTTAAAAACATTTGATGGATCTTCCGCCTAATTTTTCACTAATTCTTTGTTAGACAGCTTTTACCCTGTTCTTCAAAGGTCAGGACACCTGACGTGGTGGTGGTGTGTTAGTGTGTGTTGTGCTGGTGCGAGTGGATCAGACACAGCAGTGTGGCTGGAGTTTTAAAAACCTCATTGTCATTGCTGGACTGAGAATAGTCCACTAACCAAAAATATATATATATTCTGTTGGACAGCATCCTGCGACTACAGATGAAGGACTACAGGAGGTCCAACACAAACTGCGCAGCAACTGTAGGCAACATTCACATTACCAGGCTGAAGTGGCACAAATCAGATTTTTTGCCCTAATGTGACTCAGATTTTATGTTTTCAGGGCTGTGTAGATACACAAATCTGATCTTTTCAAATCCGACCTGAGCCTCTTTCATATGTGGTCCTGTTTTTTCCAGATCATTCCATGCAGATGGAGCACTGTAACTAAAAGCTGTCTTGCCATATTCAGAGTGTACTATCGCAAGGTCAGCTGAATATAACTATTAGAATGTAAATTGTAGCCAGACTTGTATGTTGATATGAATGGACAGTGAGTGGACACAGTGTTTAAAAACTCCAGCAGTACCACTGTGTCTAATCCACTCATACCAGTGCAACACACACTAACACACCACCACCACGTCAGTGTCACTGCAGTGCTGAGAATGATCCACTACCCAAATAATACCTGCTCTGTGGTGGTCCTGAGGGGGTCCTGACCATTGAAGAAAGGGTAAAAGGGGGCTAACAAAGTATGCAGAGAAACAGATGGACTACAGTCTGTAATTGTAGAACTACAAAGTGCACCTATGAAAAGCTGTTAAAATGGGCAAAGAGTGTAGATACATGGGAGGTGTACCTAATAAAGTAAGCCATGAGTGTATATACTTACTATAAATTAATGCCTGCAACATGTTCCAAAAAAGTTGGGACAGAAGCATGTTTACCACTGTGTTATTTCTTTTATGGAGATTGGAACACTTTAACGTTATTCTTGCTTGATTCTTGCTTGACCCCGCTCAACAGTCCGGGGTCTCTCTTGACGTATATTGCGCTTCATAATGTGCCACGTTTTTAATGAGAGACAGTTCTGGACGGCAGGCCAGTCTAGCACCTACACCTTCTTACTACAAAACCACACCGTTGTAACACATGGAGAATGTGGCTTGGCATCATCTTGCTGGAACAAGCAGGGATGTCTCTCAAAATGATGTCATCTATATCGCAGCATATCTTGCTCCAAAATGCATATGTACCCCTCAGCATTAATGATGTCTTTACAGATGTGCAAGTTACCCACTGACATACCTCCATACCATGACAGATGCTGGCTTTTGAACTTTGCGTTGGTAACATTCCGAATGGTCCTTTTTTCTTTGGCCTGGAGAGCACGACATCCATTATTTCCAAAAAACAATTTGAAAAGTGGGCTTATCAGAACACAGCACGTTTCCACTTTGCATCAGTCTATCTCAGATAAGCTTTAGCCCAGAGAAGTTGGCAGCATTTCTGGATGTTAATATATGGTGTCAGATTTGCATAGTATTGTCCTAACTTGCAATTGTAGATGCAGTGACAAACTGGGTGTACTGTGACAAGGCTTTTTCAAAATATTCCTGAGCCCATGTGGTTATATTCATTAGAGAAGCATGTCTGTTTTTAATGTAGTGCTATCTAAGAGATTGAAGGTCAGAGGCATTCCATAGTGGTTTTTAGCCTTGCCCTTTTCACTGGATTCTCTGAATCTTTTAATAATGTTACAGGCTGTAGATGGTGACATCCCTAAATTCATTGCAGTCTTGCGTTGAGAAACATTGGGCCTAATTTACTTAAATTTAATTAACTGTTCTTAAGAAGAAATCTCTTCTTAAAACCCGCTTATTAAAAGATTCTAACACCAAAGTTTTCTTATTTGATGACATATTCTTAGGTTCTTCTACACAGGCTCAAGAGTACAAAGCAGCGAACGGTTCTGCGGTTTAGAAACACGTCATGAATCTGATGACTTCTTTGTAGGACTTTTCTCAAGAACAAATTTAAGGAAAAACTTAGGGAGAATTGGTGAATGAGGCCCTTTGTTCTTAAGCTGCTGGACTATTTGCTCATGCAGTTTTTCACAAAGTGGCGACTGAGCCTTTGGTGAATGCTCCTTTTATACTCGGCATCGCCTGTTACCTATTTACCTGTTTTACTTGTGGAAAGTTGCAAAAGAGTTGTTTTTATTCATCCCACAAACTTCCCAGTCATACACTGCCCCTGTCCTTGTTTTTGGAATGTATTGCAGGCATTAAATTTGGAATTAGCATAGAAATAGCAAAAATTTTGATAAAAAAGTTATTAAAATATTAAATATCTCATGAAATATCTTTGTATGTAAGTAACAGAGAACGGGTACTTGATGCAGTCGATAGTCCCAAACACAACAGAAATTGTGTGAACAGGTGGAAAAACACAATATCTGTCTAATTGTGTTGTAAAGTCCATAGTGGCATTATCCTTTTTATAATGTGCTATACTTTTTGGACTCTCTTTTTACAGACGCCTATGAGATCACATTTGACCCAAACACAGCACACCGAGCCCTGTCTCTGACTGGGAACAGAAAGGTGACAAAGACGAAAAGGGAGCAGTCGTACCCCGACCATCCAGATCGGTTTGAAAACTATGGTCAGGTTTTGTGTAGAGAAAGCTTGTGCAGGGCTCGCTTCTACTGGGAAGCTGAGTGGACTGGGGATGTTGTTTACATAGGGATGACTTACAAAGGAATCAACAGAAAAGGTCGTGGGAATGATTGCAAACTGGGGACAAATAACAAATCTTGGATTCTGTTCTGTTCAGTTGACTATGGGTATTATGTCAGTTACAATGCCAAAGAGGCTGTCATTCCTTCTCCCAACCCTTCCAAAAGAATGGGAGTCTATCTGGACTGGCAAGCTGGCACACTCTCCTTCTATATCATTTCCCCGGATAGAGCATACCACACATATACATTTCACACCACCTTCACTGAGCCCTTGTATCCAGGCATCAGCGTTTATAGCTATGATGATACAGTCACACTGTGTGAGCTAAAGTAACACATGAACACACATGGGTGTCAAACTCTAGTCCTTTTAATGATTAGTTTATGATTCATGAGTTTAGTAGACTGTGCTCAACCAGAGCTTCTTTTTCTTGCCCTGCTTTGAATGTTTCCTCCTATTTTTCATCTGTTATTACAATGTTTGATACCAACTCCCCTTTTTCTTGACCTCCATTTTGTTATCCTTAGATTCATGTTGTAATGCTTTTAAAGTTTTGAAAATAATCTCTTTTTTGTCTTCCCCTCTGTAAATGATATTAATGGTTCCTCTAGTTTGGATGGTGCTTTGCAAAAACCATTACCATTCCTTATGCAAATAACATTACCATCTAATATTCCTTATGTTTCTGCAGTTAATGTCTTAGTTGTAAGAATTTATAAAAGTCATGGACTGGTAGTTTAAACCAGTCTGTTTTAAAAAAACAGGGTTTGTTGTTATTTTAGTGGCCCTACAGATGGAGTTTGACAATTTGAATTTCTTTCGTACCACTGACCATATTCTTATCATTGCCCCAAACCACTCATTACCGATCTTGACTTTTCTGTCAAAAATGGGAGTGATTCCAACTGTACATTGTGACATGATCTTTGCTCCAATCCTACCCACACTGCATCTGTCTCTTTAGTTGTCCACATAATTATAGCTTTTAGATGTGCTGCCCAATAGTAATTTTTTAGATTGGGTAAGTTTAACCCTCCCTTCTCTTTCGGACAAAAGACTGTCTTATATTTAATTGTAGCTTTCTTATTTTGCCATAAGAATTGTGACATTATTTTGTCTAATATTTTAAAGGTATAACTAGGAATTCCAATAAGTAGTGATTGGAACAAAAGCACCAATCTTGGTAAAAAATTCATTCTTACAGTTTCTATTCTCCCTGTCACAGACATAGTTAAAATCTCCCATCTAATCGAATCCTTCTTTATCTCAGTTATCGGTTTCCAATAGTTCACTTCAAATAGGCTTAATGTTACAGGCGTAATAATGATGCGCAGGTATCTAAATCCTTTATTAGTCCATTTAAAACAAAATTTACCCTCTAGCTCTGCTGGACAATCGCCTGAAATCATCATAGCTAGTGATTTACCTTCATTGGTCAATTTTTTTTCAGTATTACTTCAGGTTGTCTAACAGGGCTGGAATGGATGATGATGGTTAGCTTATGTATATTAATATGTCAAATGCAAATAAAGATAATTTATGTTCTACCCCCTTTGTCTATTATTCCCTTTATGTCTTTATTTAGTCTTATTGACTCAGCTAACGGTTCGATGCCTGCAGCAAACAATAACAGTCTCAAACAGTCTCCTTGTCTGACTCCTCTTTTGAGTTAGAAAAAATCTGAGCAGCAACAATTAACTCTGATCCATGATTTTTTTGTTTTTTATATATTATTTTCACAGTGTTTTAAATAATGTATTGTGTTAATTCAGTACACACTAAGCTTAATATTACTACTTACCCCCTGATAAGCTGCTTAATGCTATCAATTTATCCTAATTGTTCTTTTAATGCTGGTGACATTTTTTGATTAATACATTTGCCTGCTTCAAATTTGCACATTCCACCTTAAATGCCTCAGTAGCCTGAACTGCCAGAATGTAACTGCTGCACCATGTAAGGTAGAATGGGAAAATTTGAACAAGAGGCTGGCAAATAAGAAGCTGATTTCAGCTTTGTGTGTCTTAATCTATAAAAATATCCTACCTACAGTTCTATGTAGAGCTTTACCTACAAATATACACTATGGTATGACATTCCAACAAGACAGAACACTGGTGAGCTAAAAGGGAGGCCGACAGAGCTCAAGCTAAGACCAGAATCAACATTGGATTGGCTTTTCAGACGTGGTGACAGCTCTGTGACCTGGAGGGGTGATGTAAACTCAGGAGATTTTATTGCTGGACAGGTATGTTTTGTTGCTTGTTTGCTAGCTAGCTACTGAAAGTAGCCAGGCAGATTATTACTGTTGTGGAACTTAATGTTACCCTTGTAATGAAATGCAATGTACCCTTGAAATTGTAAGGTTGTTTTAGCTGTATAACTAATGTAAGCTTGCTAATGCGCTAATAGTAGCTGACAACTTTGCTAACAGTGTCTTTTTTTGCTTCAGGGTTGGTCCTCTATTGTTTAAGAAACAAGGCTAGCCATTATTCTCAGATAATTTCCAGTGCTACCATCTGTCTCCTTTCGGATATAAATATACTTGGCTAACATTGCCTAAATCAATATCTGAGTGGAGACTTACATAACTAATGGACACATGCTACCCAGCTGTTGTATGATTAGTAATGTTAGTTAGCTTTCAGTTATCTGTGGTAAAGCAGGTAACATATCCATACTTCTTCACATCTAGAAAGCCACATGTGCAAACATCAGATTAATCTGCTCGGGAAAGGGGATGGCAGCACAACCCACTTCTTCTGCAAATTTTGTGTAGTTGCATATTTTCATCAGAGAGATTGCCAATTACCCAAGTTTGCCAAAGTTACAAAGTGCAGCTGTAAGTGAATCTGAAGGGTGGTGGGCCACCATGAGCTGCTGGAAAAGCTTCAGTGCACGTTGGTATAGATTCTACAGTCTCTGGAACTGTACAAATGGGGTGGAACACCGTTCTTCCAAAAGATATACCCTCAGTTGGGTTTGATGATAGTGAAGGAGAGTGCTAACACATTAGAACAACATAAGTACAATTTAATCATAGTAAAGAGGCAGGCAAAAGCACTGTTATGAGTCTTGTTAAAGCACTCTTATTGGTATAGCATGGTGTGCTTGCCCACATGTGGATTCGAACCCCATTCTGCTATGTGCAGGACAGTTATGTTATACAATATGCTTTAAAGAGATTCTATCAGGTCAAAAATGTTTCATTATAATAACAGGATAAACAGGATAAAAGTGACCAGTGATTTTTTATTGATTTGCAGTGACCCTTCCCTCTAACCAAGCAAGTGGACCCAAACCATGGCAGTAAAATGTCCCCCACAGTATAACAGAGCTACTGGACCCCATCATTGTAGGGGTCAAGCATTTAGGTTTGTACGATAGATAGGAGTTTCGGGTTGTACTGAGGGGGGCTTGTTTGTCAAATGTGTCTTGCAGAGACAGATGCATTTATGCTGCTATAACATTGCTCAAATCTGTCTCAGACCACCTCCTGAAGTGGTTTGAGCAGTCAGATTTGTATCTGTTTAAATTGTGTCTTGGGTGCTTTTACACTTTTTATATTTGGCTTGGCCAGATACAATGCTGTTACTCAAGACACATGAAGTGACCAAGTATAAACGGGGTCAACAACTCAACAACTCAAATATAGTAATGTTATTTACTATCCAACACCACCTGTGAACCTTAACATGTCTTCTGAGTTTTTATATGTAACGTTAATAATGGTTAAAAAGTGGTAAATCTAAAAAAAGTAAATGTTTTAGGCAAAAATCCTCAATCTTCTATCTCAAAACTTTAGCAAAACAAACTGTCATGCATCATGCAAAATATTTGGAGCCATTTCATGTACTAGCTTTCTCTTTCTGGCAGGCAAAAGACACTTTCTTGATAGTGATTAAAACATTTGTGTAAGCAACATAACCATGGTTTTTATTTTAGCCAGTGGAGCAACATCTGTGATGGGCGGTCTAGCCCAGCAGGGGGGACCACCAGACCACCAGACCGGCACTGAATAATGCGATTGCTTCATTTTGTCATAGAATTTCCTGTCTTCTTTATTTTTTCAGTGTTATCCAGATAATTTTTCTATAGATGCAAAACATGATTGAAGTGTTTTTTTCTGCTGTAAATGTATTGTATTCGAAGTACCTGCTCTTTTTTAATTAAATGTAGCGTATTAAGCACAAAACACAAATCATTTCTAAGTTTCTTTGTGAGCAGCTGTTAGCTAGTATGCATGGTTGTGACCAACTTAAGACTTATTATTAATAATAATTATAAACAACAACAGCTGTCTTGGCTTTGATTATGACTTCAAGGTACTTAAGTTTGTTTAGGCACCTGTGAATGACTCTATTTATTTATAAATAAACAACAACAGCTGTCTTGGCTTTGATTATGACTTCAAGGTACTTAAGTTTGTTTAGGCACCTGTGCCAGCATGGGAAAGTTCTCCAAAACTTTCTAAAAGTCCCAGCTCGCAGTCAATGTCAGGACTCTGTGCAGGCCACAGGAGTTCCTCCACAACAAATTCATCAAACCATGTCTTTATGGAGCTCAATTTGTGCACAAAAGGACAGCCATGCTGGAACAGGAAATGACCTTCCTCAAATAGCTGCCACAAAGCATATCTTCATCTTAAATGTCTTTGTATGCTGTAGGATTAACGTTACACTTCACTGGAACTAAGGAGCCCAGTCCCTAAAAAAAGCCCCAGCCCATTATTCCTCCTACATCACACTTTATTTTTGTCACTTTACTATTGGATAAACTAGAGTTTTGCCGGCATCCACCAAATCCAAATTCGTCCATCAGACTGGTCCATCGTCACTCCAGAGAACATGTTTCCACTGCTCCAGTGGCATTGTGCTTTACACCACTCCAGCTGACGCTTGGCAGCACACGTTGTGATCTTAGGCTTGTGTGCAGCTGTTCAGCTATGGATACCCATTCCATGAAGCACCTGATGCACAGTTCTGGTAATGCTGCTTCCAGAGTCAGTTTGGAAGTCTCTAGTAAGCAAATGCGGACTTGGCAGCCTCACTGTGAATTTACGTGATCTACTGCTTCATGGCTGAGCTGTTGTTGCTTCTAGATGCTTCCAATGAGTTTGGCTGAAACACCTAAACTCATATTTTTTTCTTGCTTTAACATTGCTGTGAGAATTTGTGTGTGAAGACCAGTGGGTGGTATTCCTCAAGAAAGCGTACTTGCTGTTATGTACTGGCTAAAATGTTACAGGTAAAAGTTAAAAGTTTGTGAATCATTTCACTTTAGATTACAGACTCTCTCCACCTACTCATTGTACACACCTCCCTACACCACACAGTGTGGTCTACTTTATTTGTAACAAATGTGTATAAATAGTCATTTATAGTAAGCAATCTAATCATTAGATATTTCAATAATCAATAGAATTACCTGTTAAAGCTTAGCTTGGCAGTTGAATGGCAGAATGTGAGGAAAATGCTATTACTGAGGTAAAACTTAAAAAATAAGTATTTTTGAAAAATATGTTGGTCATCCTCTAGTCCTTCATCAGTAGTCACAGGACGTTGCCCTCAGGACGCTGTTGGCTGGATATTTTTGATTGGTGGACTATGCTCAGTCCAGCAGTGATACTGAGGTGTTTAAAAACTCCAGCAGCACTGCTGTATCTGATCCACTCAGGCCAGCGCAACACACACTAACACACCACCACCACGTCAGTGTTACTGCAGTGCTGAGAATGATCCACCACCCAAATAGTACCGGCTCTGTGAGGGTCCATGGGGGTCCTGACCACTGAAGAACAGGGTAAAAAGGGCTAACAAAGTATGCAGAGAAACAGATGGACTACAGTCTGTAACTGTAGAACTACAAAGTGCACCTATATAGTAAGTGGAGCTGATAAAAGGGACAATGAGTGTAGAAACAAGGAGGTGGTCATAATGTTATACCTGATCGGTGTAAGTATCCATGGCACACTCCTCCTCCTGAGTTAAATGGTAAACTCTAGACTTAGGTAGAGTAGCATTCTCAATGAGGTCTATAGCGCAGTCATATGGACTGTGAGGGGGCAACTTGGTGCCATTTCCCTTTCCCTTTCTATAGAAGTAGATTTGACAGGGATAGAAGCATAAGTGATGCAATTTTGGTGACAGTATTCTGACCAGGAAAGCAGTGAATGATTAGACCAGAAAATGCAGTGATTGTGTTGTTTTAACCAGGAAATACCTAATATAACAGAGAACTCAGATGAGTCACTTATGAACACTAAGAAAGAAATCAGCTCACTATGTAGGGCACTGGCACTCAATCTAATGACTTTGGTTCTGTTAGTGATAGATCCAGCTCCTACTGGTCCTCCATCCAGTGTGGCTACACATAAGGAGGTCTTCACGGGCATCACAGGAATCTGCAGTTGATCCACGAGTCAAGCATGAATGAAGTTTTCTTCAGCTCTGGAGTCAATCAGAACTGAAACAACAGAAAAAATATCCTGGCTAATGTCTAGAGTTTACCCTTTAACTCAGGACCAGGGGTC